CTGGTGGCATTCCGAGTCCTCGACCACAATGAGGAAGTGTCCGCCGAAGGTCCTGAGAGGTCTCCCTCGACGCTCCCGGACAGGTATTGGGCAAGGTCATCACCGCGAGGATCGCGCTTTAAACGGAAGGCCACTGTCTCCCTCAGTGAGCCCAACGCCAACATCCTGACGAGGCGATCCTTAGATGTTAATAATTTAAATGAATGGMATATTGTCAGGATGTCGGCGAGGTCCCCGAGCGGGAGGAGCCCTCCTCCACCTTCCCTGGGGGGCAGGAACACTACCTCCGCGCTCGCACGCTGAGGGAGATGTAGCCACCCCTTTGCCATCCGCTTGATGACCTTGTCCVCGACTTTCAGCGGACCCTTCTCCACGTGTGATCCCCCCAGACAAAAGTCAAGACGCGGCAGTACAAACGTAGCTACCGCGTCAAGCTTCTGCCAAGGGGCAAGAAGGCTGGAATCCACCGCTCTGATGTCCCTGATGACCTGGGAGAGAAGCTCCAGAGGCGTCTGTACACAGTTGAAACCGGTCTGTGTGCCGAGGTGAGAGTAAGCCTCCCCCTCCTCCAGGGGCCTCATCCAATCTCCGCAGATCTTAAAGCGCGTGCCCTGAACTCTATTTCTTCGCCTTCCCTCACCAATATGGTGGAAGGCACACTTTCTCGCGTTAAAATTGAAGCCCCTGAAGCGCGCAGAGTTTTCAACAGACGCTAGCAGCGTCTCCATGCCGACCCGGGAGTTTGCTATTAGCGCGACTTCGTCCGCGTACCCCAGGCTGTAGAAGAGTTGATCATGGATCCGGTACCCGACGTTGATGCCCGCGAGTGGTCGTAGCATAAACTCCATGCATAAATTAAATACAATTGGGCTCAGGGGACAGCCCTGACGTACCCCTGAGCGGATAGGGATGGGATCGGTTAAGCCATCCGCCGTCCTGAACCTAGTGGTGACCCCTCCATAGTAGGATTTAATTATGTTAAGGAAAAGAGGAGGCAGATGATGTTGCCGGAGGGCCTCAAAGATAGTCGTGTGGGGGACCGAACCAAACGCGTTGGCTAGGTCCAACCACACAACCACCACCTCTTTCCCCTTCTTCCTACTGTCTGCTAATATTTCTTAGAGCACAAAATTGTGCTCCACACAACCCTCATAGGGGAGGAAGCCCTTCTGAGACGCACTGAGCTTCCCCCTCTCCTGAGCCCAGACGGTTAGGCGATGGGCAACTAGCGCCGCGAATAGCTTTGGGGTTGTATCCCCCATCGCTATCGGGCGCCAGCTGTCCAAGGAGTCCAGATTGTCTTTCTTAGGGAGGAGAATGGAAATGGAAGCCTTCCAAGAGTCAGGGACAGCACCCAGCCTTAAGCAGGCGTTAAAAATTGATGTTAGGATGTGGCATCCTGGGTCCGCTCGTCCTAGGTCGGAGKAGAGGACCCCATCAGGTCCAGGGGATGAGTTCTTCATCCTCCTGAGCCTGGCAGAGACCTCCATCCTTCCCAGGGGAGCGGTCAGGGCCACATC